CTCACAAGATTTACACTTAACAGTATCAAGCCAATGTCTCTGGTAAATTGTTTTTATTGCATTTTTAAAAATGCAGAATACAATAAAGAAAAATCCCTCACAAGACTCCTTCTGGAAAACAAGGAAACATCCAACAATAACAGCAAGCTTCAAAGCCACTTAATTAAAATCTTCAGCTTTATGAAATAAGCAGATAAGCCAAACATTACTCAGGTTTGTAAAGGGACCATTAAAGGAATATTGTGGTATTTTCAGAGTAGATATTAAGCTTTTCATAAAACAGTATTGAAAGAGCGATTTCATAAATAGCTTTTTTCCCCAAAGTTGATTACTGGTATGGTAAACAGGGCATTATTATGTGCCAGGTGCTCTTCTAGGTACTGGAGCTAGAATAATTAACAAAGCAGATCAAAATGGTCCCTTCCATGGGTTTTCATTCTGCTAGAAGAACATAACAAGTACATACACATTTATTATTATTGTTATTATTATTGTTGTTATTATTATTATTACAATATATAGCAAGTTAATTGGTGACAGGGAGAAAAGCAAAAAAGAGGATGGAGAGTGCTTGAGTGGGAACACAGGGTTTATTATTAAATAATGTGGTCAGGAAGTGTGTAACTGCACAGTTCAGCAAGGTGGCTGTAAGACAGCAAAAGAGTAAGAGAGGGAATAGTGAGATGGGAGATGAAGTCAGAGATGGAAGGAGACCAGGCCATGCAGGTCCTCATCAGGCATTTTAAGGGCTCCTATTATGGTGATCTAGGCAGTCACTAAGTGGAAGGTTTTAGCAGAGTGGCATATCTGATTCAATTTAAACAGAATCACTCTCGCTGCCATTGGAAGAAAAGGCAGAGGTGGAGTGATTAATTAGGAGACCATGTCCAGTAAACCAGCTAAAGATGCTAAAGATGATGAAATGACACCGAGATGGTAGTGATGGAAGTAGTGAGCAGCAGATTTTAATTCTATTTTGTTTGCAGGGGCAACAGGATTTTCTGAGGGATTCAGTTTAGACGTAAGAGAAGAGAGAAGTCAAAGATAAATGTAAGTTTTTTGCCTGGACCAAGGAGAAGAATAGACTGAGAATAAGGGGGGGGGGGTAAGGAATATAGGTGTTTGATTTGGGACATGTTGAATTGAAATGCTGATGAGAATTCCAGGAAACATATCAAGTTGGACATGAGATACGAAAGTTTAGAGAAAATATGTCTGGAGATTAATATTTGGGCATTTTCTTCATGCACACTCTTTTTAGAGCTGTGAAAATGTGACTTAGAGAATGTTTGAGGTTGGAAAAATCCCAGAAATAATTAAATCATGTCCAAACTCATTATATTAGAGATAAAATTAATAATATCCAGTTAGGATCAGAGACTATGAAACATCTAAAACTTTGGATCAGCCTACAAGCCCTTAGGGATGTATTTATTACATTTCCCAAAGGCAAGAAAATAGAAATATTTCAGGAGTTGTTAATGAGATGATGACTTTATAATGATATTTTCTAATAAAAACTAGTACCAGAGGGAACTTCATAATGACTTTTAAAATTTGAATATACATTTACTTTCTACTTTAAATAGATCCGGATTTGTCTCTTCAACATGTTTCATTTACTCTTTTTTATATATGTAATGACTGTAGTAATCAGTTTACTACACAGATTAATCATTCTTGAACGTAAAAGCTCCAGAGAAGCAAATGGGTCTTTAAATATATGCAAGTATTTCCATCAAATGAATTTTCA